TGCTTGTTGATTACTTCCGTTAGGTATTGGCATTCTAATAAATAATATTTTAAAAATAATTATTTATCATTAGTATCAGTAGTTATCACAATGGGCTTGTGTAGTGAAAGCTAAGTAATTAAATCATTGTACAAACTATAAAAATTACACATCATAAGCTGCAGTGTAAACCCAAGGTGAATTTATTGTAAATAGATTTTATAGAAATATCAATTATGTGGATGCTAAATGGCACATGATGTATCGTCTGTCTCACAAACTTAACGTAGGTACTAGGAACATTACAAAAAATTTAGAATTTAGCGGCTCTTATTTTACATTTTGGTGTAACAACCTTTAATAATAAGAATGAATGGTCAAACTATCAAACTCAAAGATAAGAACATTATCTTTGTTTTCTCATAATTGTTCTAAGGTAGGTATATTCATTTTTAAGTATGAAATTATCATTATGAGTAGGTATGTAAAATATAAGTCCTAATAACTCATTTGAGAGTTAAAAAATCCAAATATCATAAAAGAACCCCTGTTAGAATAGAAAAATATGTTCTTTACCTTTAAGTTTGATAATAGGTTAATTCAATCTAATGTTTAAGTTTATTACACATTATTGGACATTTGGATCTGTTGAGCACAAATGAGTAATGTTATAAGTAGGTATGTGAGACGGATACAACACAATATGTGAACAGCATAAACCTTAAGCTATATTATAACAAATAATAGTCATTTGATTTTTAAATGCAATAATAAATAATAGAAAATTAAATATAATTGACTTTTTACACAGTTAAGAACAGTGGAAAAATAGACATACGGTGAGCTATATAACAGTGTACCTATCTATAAGTACCTGACATGTGCGTATTCTGTTTAGTGATAAAAATGTATTAATTAATTAATTTTAATGAAAATTTCTAATTTAGATGTTTGGTATACTGTACCATGCATAACCACATAGAAAACCTTTTATAAAATAACAGTGGACCAAAACAATAACTGTGGAACCAAACTTTTTTAATCTTGGATTACTTTGAACAGGGGACTCAAGAGTTTCGAGACTACATCTCATATTCTCGTACCAGTTCTTATATTATTAAGTTGTAATTTAAATATATTTAAAAGTTTAGAAGCATAAGTTAACACCTGAGTGTCTACTTTGACACTCTATATTAAGTTTAGAGAGAGGTTTATTTTTGGGAATTATGAAGTTTAAAATATTTTAAAGACATAACATGAACTAAAATTATATGGACGTAATTTTTTATTTTAACTTCAATTCCATTTAAATAAAAATAAAAATAAAAATGATAGATAATTTTATTAACGAATTAACAAAATATGAACTAATATTGATAATGAACATAAAAATAATTCACATCAAGATTGAGAAACAATATTGTTTATCTGTCTTGATAATATTATATCAGTCCTATTATTAGTAGGCAGGTACTGGATACAGTAATGTACAATGTATTAAATTATACAATAGTATAGGTATAACTGTATACTTAAAGATACATTTTAAGGTTTTTACTCTTTAAGTTATAATTTATAAATTTAATTTAAATAATGCAGTTCATAAATATAAATAAAATACATTTTCACATTAATTATACACATAGTATTGTCAAGTAAAATCAATGCAATTAATTATATTTAACAATACTATCAGTTCTGTTGCTCTCATATATTATGTAGGGGAGCACAGGGGGTATGTAAAATATGAATTTTTTAAGTATTACATTTATAATTTGAATTACATTATTTACTACTGGTAGTAGAGAATTAATAGTAGTTGATCAATAACTATTGATTATAAATGGCATTTGAATACACATATAGTTAAAATTTAGATCAAATATAGCTGAAAATAAATGCATTTCAAATAAAAACTAATTAAATTTTAAATAAATTTTCAAAAATAATAAAATGTTGATTTTTCATAAAGGAATATAAAATTTTTTGCATAGAATCACCACTATACACATTACAGATTCGAAATCCATAGTATTTCAGTACATGTACATGAGCATAGTGAAAAGTTCATTTAAAATTAACTTGCAAAAAATTGCTTGAACTTAATACATTTTAAAAACAAATTCATGAAAGTCTACTACTTTACATCAAATATATTTTTAATATTTAGGAATACAATATCTAAGGTACCTTCCTTAGGTCCCACATCAGTATTAAATTGGTAAAACAATAATATAGAGAGGTAAAAATATATAGATTTTAAAATAAGACATTAACACTCATTTTTTCAAGATCACAACAAAAATGTTTTATAAATAATATTTCAAACAAAAAGTACAAACACATCCATATTAAATAAAATTTAAACTTTTTGTACAGAAAAAAAAACACTGAATATTATGATAATTTATTTAATAATTTAAAAAGAAAAACACTTCTAATATAAGATATTTTACTAAAAATTCCTAAATAAAATTGAAAATGTTGCTTACTTATACAATTTTAATTATTTACACGTCTTGTATGATAAATTATAAAATGATTGCTTAAATAATTAAAAGAAATTAATCAGCAGTACATTTTGAGTTGTTTATTTTTAATATTAATGATTAACTTTTTAGCAATTTATCAATACTTGTCAATAAAATTACCATAGTGTAATTAGTAAATTATGAAAACTGAAATAAGTATTCATTTTACAATTCAAAATGTCATTAAATGGACACTAAATGAAGTTTTTCATTAAATAAAAAAATAAACAATGACAATATTATACATACAAACCAAAAATATGCTTAAAATATAAGTACCAAAATTATATTATTCCATTTTTTTTTTTTTTTTTTTTTGAGTTATATAAATACAATTAAAATCTTTTTTAATACTATAAATTATAAGTAATTTTTCAACATAAATTTTGTATAAATTCTACATAAAAAAATGATGAGTTTTCGTGATGGCCTTGGCAAAGTACAATTAACATATTATATTTCCAAATATTTACTACAATTCTTATTTATAAAAATTGTATATAATGTAAAAGAAAGAAATAAAGTAAGAATATGTTAACTACTGAGCACGGTTATAATATATTATCAGTAGAAAGTCAATGTAAGTCTAAATATTCTTCATTATAAAACCTGTAAAAATCATAAAATTATTAATAAAATATTTAAAAAAAAACTATCAATAAATGGTCTACGAATCTATTATAATATAAAATTGAACTCATTATATAAATTTATCAAACAAAAGCAACCTTTCACCACCTCGACATTTTTCAGTCATCTTTTGTTATACCTACGTTTTACTAGAAAGAAAAATTGTTTTATTTTTAACTTTTTAATTAATTTCAGTTAATTTTAACATTTCTTGAAGAATACTAATAGAAACAAATAAAGAAAGGAGAAAGTAAAATACTAATACTGTAACTATTATTTTCATCAACAAATTATTTCTCGCAGATTAAATATATTATATAAATATAAACGTTATAATTCATTGTTATAATACATTTTTTTTTAAAGACCCCGGTGCAAAAACCAAATACGTCCAACGAATGGTATTGAAATAAAAATGATAAAACTGATTTTTAAATTTCTGTTGGGTGCAATTATCAGGTATGTCCGGACACATCCATTGAACATTAGATATCCATTTTTTTTTTCATTGGGCGCAAAAGCAAATATGTCCGGGTGTAACTGGTTATTGCTACCAACACTTCTATTCAAATTTTGGAATTCTATCAGTTGCAATAACCAGGTATAAATACTTAGTTTTTTTTTATGTAGTATAAAAATAAAAATATATTATCATGAATATAAAATGTAAGCCATAGGAAATTGGGTTGAATGATTTATCTTATTCTGACAAAAAAAAAAAAACACCAAAATTTTTAATTTTCGGTTAATTTACCAATTTTATGGATTTTTTTTATGTTTCCTGAATAATTTTTAAAAATTGACATATCTGGTTATTGAACCGGGGTATGCATATTTCCTTTCTTAAGGTCTAAATTGATCTCTGCACCATAGTTCATCACAATTGGATGAACGGTTTAGGAATGCATAAGAACCAAGGTGGCTAGGTAGAAACTATTTTTGTGTTTTATATATATATATATATATATAAGATAAAAATATAGGTATAATTGATATTATATAATAATAACTAACAATGAATAATAGCATAGAATCTTGGAATTTATTTAAAACTTATGAACAAGGTGGTTAACTAATCATTTTTATAATTTGTATGTCTCCATAACTTATTTTCTTTTCACTTGGTTACCATGACCAATGGGTTTGTATTGCAAACATTTTCACTTTTTACATGACGACTACGATAGGCCAATATGGTGATACTGATATTACCTCCTTTTTTGAGTCTAACATAGACCTTAAACTAATAGACGAAATATGGTATTAGTTTCAGCGGTCATGTGATATATGATATGTCAATGTTGATCAAAATAGTAAGTAGTATACCGCAAATACTATGGGATTGTACAATAATTAAAAATTTTACCGCGTGCATTATTTTCCTATTTAGGCCTTTAACTGTTTCTACTAAATTCATCAAACATCATCAGAATGGAATTATAATGTACACTATACAATATACATTATTAAAAAAAGTTAATGGATCTATGCACTAACCGTTAATAACAATGCTTTAGTTTGCAAGGTATAATATCATCACCGGTGTTCTGCTAGGAAAGATCGCACCACCCACCCGCATCCTACCTGGATGTTCCGTCTATTAGTATATGGTCTATGTAAATTCACCACTGATAACAGAAAAATTAGCCGACAGTAGTCATTGACCCAGTCAACACTATTTACAATTGTTTATCTGCCTAATATAAAATTAATGATAAGTATTACTTTTTTTTGTTGAGATAGTAGTATAGTATCCTTTTATATAAGTAGATACAGTAACAAATAATAAATAATAATTAAATACGTCTAGTCTGAGAATCATAAATATTTTTTAATTAATACTTACGAATAATGGCAAAATTAGGACACAACTGTTGATAACTGGTCCACTTTTGGTGCATTGTCATCAGCTGATGCGCTAATATTATTATCAACAACATTGTCGGCAGCTTTACCTAGCTCTTTTTCAACTTGATCAACAATTGGTGCATCCTTATTGGTGGTGATGGCAGTGGTAGCAGTTACAGCTTTTGAATCTGTTTCTTCAACATGGTTAGTTTCACCATGGAGAGCTTTAACAGGTTCTTTCGCATCCATTTCCGTGATAGATTCATCACCATTAGACTTCACTTGTTCATCAGTATCACCATTTGGTGTGACAACATCTTTAGTTGCTACACAAAATCCAATATCGTTTACAATTTCTTCTACTGGCTCAATTTTTTCTTTTTCTTCACTTTTTCCATTGGTTTTTTCCAAAGCTACTGGTCCTTGTTTAGCCTCATCTTGAGATGTATCATTCTTTGGCTGTTCGATTATTTCAGGATCTTTAACTTTAATAAGCTCTTCTGTAGTTTCAGATTTTTCATCTTCAGTTTCATCAACTGATTTAGTATCCATTTCTTTATCATCGTTAGTGACCGGAAGTTTTTCAACTGCTTCTTGATCTATGGAATCTTCAAGCGGCACATCAGTCTTTTCTTCAACTGTTTTCAAATCTTTTTTCTCTACACCAGATGGTGGTGACACTTTAGTTTCTTCAACATTGTCAACATCCATTGGTGAAATTCCAGAGACATCATTTTCATCAACATTGTTAGTTTTATTTTCTTCTGGGTTATCAATCACGTCAGAAGATGTTTTATCTTCAGTTTTAGTTTTTTTAGCTTCGGGCAATTCAATAGTTTCTTCAGTTGTCTTACGTTTTGATCGTTTCGGTTTTTCAGAACTCTTTACTGTCTTTTTTACAATAATTTCTGCTTTTGGCGTAGTCACTATTCCCCTTGCTGCCAACCTAGAGCTCCTCCTTCTACCATTATTACCTTCTTGATCCATTGTGTGTGGTACCTATAAAAAATATATGAATAATTAAACATAAGTAGGTAGGTAACCATGAAGTATCAAATTATTTTTAATCAAGTTGGTACCCAAATTAAAGTATACGAGAGAATACCTTATAGGTACAAAGGTATTTAAGAGGACGCTACACAGACATTTGTTGTCTCTGTCTTATAAGCACGGAACATGGCAAGTTTTACGCTAAGCAGATCATGTTTAGCTCCGTTAGTTTAAAAATAAGAGTGCATTACCTCTTATAAAATTTAAAGGTAAGATTATTATCTAAGGAATCTCATAAGCTTTTTATAATATTTTAATTTTGAAGCGAGTTATGAGTATTTTAAAATTATAAATTGTTTGTACATCTTAAAATACTCAACAAATGTCAGTTTAACAATTCATACATTGTATACCTATTTTGCATAATTCTACAGATTATCTACATGATTTTTTAGATGTATAATTATTGATATTCTTTTAATTGTTATCCAATTGTAACCTATTACAATATCAATATGCAAGTAGCATAATTGAAAACAATAATTAACATAGGTGCTTACTAACTCGATTATGTTTTAAGAAAAAGCACTTAATAAAATTAAATTACAATGAAGAAATAAACAATTATACACTTTATTCAGAAAAAGATTGAGCCGCTTAGCGCATGCAGACTGAGCCGCCAAACAGTGTCTTACCCTCCATGCGATGGCTATGCATTCTGTGATTTCCGTCGTCGGTCGTCTGTGCTAAAGCTCTCACCGATGTCCAGATTGTGGTGGGGATGGGCGGAAAAAACATGTTTTGATCATCTGAGTGGTTTAATCTTATTCTGAATAGAGTATAGTTAAGTAATTAAAAAAATATTGTTGGTCAACACCACTATCCTCAGGTAAAAATTTAAAATAATAAATATATGGTATCATCTATCCTCTAAAAATAATAGTTTAATTATTATGAACGTCATAATCTTAGTAATACCATTGATTATAAATATTAGGTATGGATAGCTAACTGCTAAGTGAGATATTTATAATCAATAGTAATACGGATAAATAACATTTTTTTACAATTCAATAATTGCAAAATGATTAAGCCGACCTAATAGATATTTATAGATACTTATAGTATATTTAGGTGGATAACTTACTAACCCATAAAATTATTTGATAGGATATTTAACAAGTACCAAACACATTAATCAAATGAAAAATAAATTTGTGCAAAGCTTGGTTTAGGTACCATACTCTTGCTGATCTCAAGGTTATTTAATTTATTTGTTATTTATTAGAATATTCAAAAGGAAATAATATATTAAATAATTGAAAAAATTAAAATATGATATAACTATCGTAGTATTAACCCTTTCACTGCTCCATACGTACTACTAAGTTCCTGTATTTTATAATATTCTCATTTTCTGTTAACCGTACAACATTAGGAAACCTTGGCTCACATTATTTTAAACTTAAATTTTATAGATAACAGTGAAAAAGTTAAGTAGCTATTCCAAGCAAGGGTAACACAACAAAAGTTTTTTATAAAAATATCAACATAAATATAGACTGATACAATTTATGTCAAGACATAGCAGTAGCTTAATTTCAAGAACATAAAAAATGGAACATCCTGGCATAATTGTATAAGTAGGTGGATAAATCCTTATTCTAAGGTCAATCTTGAAGATCACCAACCAGAAGTGAATACAGAGAATGAGAGCAAAGATGAAAATAACTTGAAGGAAGAAATAATCAAAACCACGGAGAAAATCTATACCTATAGCAATGGATTTTTGATTAATGTTACAGGCATTCTGGAAAGGTATTGATTCTAAGGAAAAAAAAAGAGTCCGCAATATCTACCAATTATATTACCTAAATTAAATTGTACAAGGTAATACCTAAAATTTACTCTGATAAATGGTTCTTACTCAACTTTAAATTAACATAACTTAACTTAACCTACCTAAACTATATATTTATAAATATTTTTTATACTATATACTATAGGTACCGTATACTGTAATCATGTTAAATCTAACCTAACCTACCAGTAACTCTATTATTTTCTATTGTCGTCTGGCATACACACTCAGCTAGGTAATTAAAATACTAAAAGCAATCCAGTTTCTAAAATCTATTAAAAACAACTACCTACGACATACGTTTGATAATTAATATTAATATTAATATAATATTCTAGAACGTGCAAATTCCTAAGAACCTAAAAAATAAATTATTTAATAATATAATTAGTAAAAAAAATATTCAACTTAGATACTAATAATTATATTGTATTTTATTTCTGGCAAACTGAAGACATTTTCAGAAATAAATAACCGTAAATAATTGACATATCTCACAAAACAAATAGGTATGTACACAATTTACTCAATAAATAACTTAACTAAAAAAAAAAAATTGTAGTAGGTAGGTAAAATTATATATTATTGGTACGAAAATAAAAAATACTATAATATAGTAACTACATCTACCTCGGTACTGAATAGAAGGTATAGTGAAATAATAGTCGATCGCTAAACAATCAACTATCCATAATTTAACATAGGTAAAATACAAAGCATAAAATCAGATAGGTAAACATTTATGAAATAGTAGTAATTGTCTAGTATTTTTAATTGTACGTGACGTGACAATAGTCTGTTCCCAGCTTTTACAGTAATTGATAATAGTATCGATGGCCATGTGCGTGGGAAATCGGTCCAACACAACAACACAACAGACACGAGTCGTAAGAGCACGAACGCGCGCGCGTAAACAATCTTCCTCCTGACCCCCGCACACCATCAAACAACAACAACAACAACAACAATGAACAATGACAACTATATAACGTATACAAAACGACGCTTCGGGCCACCACCTGCTGAGTAGCGACCAAAGACGCCACCATTGTAACGGCCGCCGAATCGATTTCCGATTGGATGCCGCGCGCAGACGGTTCGTCGAGACGCCGTTCGTACGACAACGACGGCGTCACCCCCCGCACCGTCAGTTTGGTAACGCGCAAAGACCATACACCCAAAGAATTTCTACGGAAAGAAGTTGTTTAGAAATAATTCAAAAGCATACTTACGAGGTTGATATTATAATAACGACGGCGTCTGTGGTGAAGTCTTGATGCGCTCGCAAACAAATGCAACTTGTCGGGGAGACTGCTTCTTGTCCGCGGTTGACCGTTTCGGCGGTAATCGCGTCCGCTATAGCTGTGTCAACTCTGCTGCTACGGTTACTTCCTACTACTACACTGGCACACAGTGTGAGGAGGGGGGAAGGACGACGACGACGACGGCGGCGGCGGCGGCGACGATTTGGTCGCGTACAACACGTGCGATACGGGTGATATTGCGAGCCGGGCGAATAGCAAACAGCGGCGGCGACGGATGAAAGAAAATCGAACAACGGTGACTGGAGAGCAAAAGAAATGCCAATACGATGAACGTTCGCCGAAACGACGACGGGACGCGTATAGTCGACTAGCGGTTAAACACAAAACGGAGTACGGACTGCTGCTACAACTACCGAATGCCGCTTATACGAGGAGCCGATTGGGATTGATAGTAAAACAACACTGAACAAAACGCACACGGCTAGCGCAGTCACACACACGCTCAAACATACATCGGATGCATACACACGCACAAACACGCTACACACACACACGCACACACACACACACACATATGCACACACAAGAATAGCGCGCACGCGCATAGACACGGCCGCGCACGCGTACGCACATACTCGAGCGGGCTTACGCACATACGCGAGAGCGGGCACACGCACGCGCAACCGTTCACGCAGCTCGCTCTTGCACGCACGCACACGCACCCACCACTTTAGATGCAATGGCGGGGTGGAGTGTACACGCATACGCACCAAACGGTTCTCCGACTCGACGGCGGCGGTTTTTGTTTTTTCAGCGTTGTCGACGCCGCCCGCGCGTCCTTTTGGCGTCGTTGATCAGGCCGGCCGGCCGGCTGGCTGCCGGCTGGTTCAGTGTGTCCAACTTTCACGCGAAAATTATTCCTCCACCTTATCTAGTCTCTAGCCGCGTCTATAATTTTCCATAGTGTAGAATTTGGAATTAAACAGATTAAACATACATTGTACAATTACATATGTTTTACTAACTTTACCAACTTATTATATTACGTACCTACCTACGCTAATACTTTCTAATCTACATATTATTATGCTTGTTCAGTGTTCTTTATTGTTTAATTAATATTTTGCATTTTGGACCTTACACCGTAGTATTTTGTGGTTGCCGTTGTAGTCTTATCGTTTAACAATATTATTACGACGTGTTGGTGACTGTCATAATATTTTGTATAAATACGATTTATAGTGGGTACCTACGACCTACCAGCAGCTGTCTAACCCGGTGTGGCGAACACCGTGCCGAGTCATTTCGCCGGTAGTACATACTTCCAATATTATAATATTATTGTAAACCGAACGGCGACGGGCTAGACTATATAACTTTATCAATTGCAGCCCGCGCGATTAATATTATTATAATTTATGGCGTGTCAGGACCTGTAATAATAACACGAGTTACGACTGTTTGAAACGATCGCAAAGCCATAAGTCGCTCTCTGCTGTCGTTAATCACGTCCGCGCCATGATGCGAGCTTAAGAAATTTCAGACTGAACTAATATTATGTATGGAGGCAGTGCTTGAACTGAGAGAGCTCTTCTACTATTTTTTATTTTTGTATTTCAACAGTACCTACCCTTATTGTAAAATAATATATTGTTATTATAATTTTATTTTTATAATTTATACCTAATGATTAAATTCATCGGAACGTTGTTTTTATTTTTATTATTCGAGAATTTTGTACATGATGATATGCCTAATACAACTTATGTACAGAGCATTGTCAAAACAAACAACGTTTTTTAATTTAATGTCACAGGCGTAGTAGGTATAATTATTATTTTAACTTGTGCCAGCCAAACAATATTTTTCCT